TGAATGTTGTGACCCGTATTCGACATGGTCAGGAGACGGGAGGCGACAAGTAAAGGAAAGCGACAGGTGTTCGATGTTTCTCTGCATGATTGGGATTCGTTAGCCCTTCGCATCGTCTTTCCGGATCGCGATCTCGTCCCTAGGATGGGACAGACATTTGCGAGTTCTCGATGAGCCCGAGGCTACGTCTTAATGAAATCCGCTGATCCAAGTATACGCGCTCTGTTTCGGATCCGTATTCGCTACGAGACATTTCATTGAAAAGGCTACGGGCAGTAGCAGGTTCTGGAAATATCTGAACTATCGCGAGGACTCAGTATTCACCTGCCGAATGTTCAGATATCTCATTCGTATGTCGCCACATCCGTCCGAGGTAAACGTGTAAACCGTAAGGTTCTCTGTATCACAAAGTGTGAGCATTTCTAGCGCTGGCTATGTATGTTTATATATTTTTTTATATATGTGCCGGGCGCCCGGCTGTCAGAGTCGACGTGTGTGAGTGGCCGCGAGTCGCGACTCTTCGGTGGCCGGCTAGCCGGCAAGCGTTCAATTAGCGCAGTGACCCTCAAGCGAAAGATGAAGAAGCCAACCGGGTCGCGACGGCTTGCCGCTGCCGTCGACATGTTGACGACACTTCTGGATTATCGCACTTTTTTTCTTGCTCTTTTAGCGTGGTCCTTGATTCTCATTGAGCGTCGCTGCGCCGACTGGAAACTTCTGCAAATTGTTCACAAGGGGTCCTCAGTCAGTGGAAAAAACGAAGCGTAGGGAAAACCCGACCGTGTTAAGGCTCGTGTGCTCCTCGCTGTGCTGACGGAGAGGGCGCTCTTACGAAGATTAAACGGAAAGTCTCCCATCGTTAGATTCAATTATTGATTGTTTCGGCCATGACAAGGTTCCTCGGAATTATCTTTGAAAAACTCCGGAAACAGATCCGATCAGCTCGGACAGTCGTTCTGTGAAATTCTTTCGAAATCCGCGACCCCCTCGGCTTAGTACCTCTAATGCCACAAGCTTCCTATTAGACTTCCAATAGGCTTGGCTCTCGCGGGAGTCGCCATCTTGGGAAATCGGGAAGGGGATGTTGACAAAGTTCCTGAGCGATCTGCCGGGCGCATGTCCCGGAGCCGCACCTCCTCCGGGAGCAGCAGGTTTGAGGAAACATCGCGGCGATCATCGCGTATTGCTCACCGGGAGCCAGCCTCCGGGGCACCGTGCGACCCGAGAAATCTAGATGAGCTCTCTGAGCAAGATCTGATGAGGCGGAAAATGTCACTGTGACTAGACGACACGACTGTCGGAGCAGGATTGCGACTTCGTCAGCATGGCCTGACTGCCGAGTGTCTCATCAGACATATGAATCCGTGATGCTTGCCTCTCGGATTCGAATTGATGAGAAAGAACTCGATCATTATTCGCAAAGAGAAACCGAAAAACAACGGATTTTATGATGATCAGACTTATTTGCGATTCGCTCAAGGGATCGCAGTCCAGGTGACATTTGCGACATCTGCGGAGCGCCATGATAGCTTCGGCTCCTTTGTCCTGCCTCTGTGAAATTTTGCTTTTCATTTCGTTGTTTATCGTATTGCTTCGTTAGCTCGCTGCGCGGACGAAAGAAATATTATTCTCCACAACCGAAGAGGCTTCGAATGTCCGACACGACCAAATCTCGGTTGCAGCGTCTTTCTTCGGCGTCGACCGAGCGACCGGTCGTACGCTTCGGATCGACGTCCGCTCTAGGGGGGGTTGGGTGGCTTCGATGCGTTTCAGGGAGTCTGCTTCGGCAAGAGCGCTCAATAGCGAGCTGCGGGTGCCGAAAACGCCTAACCTTCCGTATTTTTCAAGATAATTGATTGCTTGCGATTCAGGAAAGACTTTCGTGCATTTATCCGACTCGTTTCCGTGGCATGCTCTCCGAAGCGAAGCAAGAGGGGGTCCATGACAGAAAGAAAAGGTGAAGTCGCGATTCTTCGGCGCTGACCGTAGCGCCCCCTTTAGCGGGCCAAGATCCGTGGTGAGAAGTGGCGCCTTCTGGCGGCAACCGAGCCAAACACCAAGATATCCGGACTTTGGACGCGAACTGGGTCGATAATTTGACAGGACTCTTGATAATTATCGATGAGGATCGATTCATTAGCTTTGGAAACAGATATTAAATGCCCATTTGAAGCGGTACTTCTCATGGTCGTGATTATGTGCATTCAGCGTTTCGGGAGCCATCTTGACATGATGGGCTGAGGAGGAGCCCATTTCTCCCCCGAGGGAGCAAATGTTCAATTACCTAGGTCATTCATGGAATAATTAAATCGGAAATATTTTTCGTTTCCGGTGAACAGAGAGTGGCTGCGCACTTTGGTTTTCTTACCCTTGTTTTGTTCCCCGAACCTTCTACGGCGCTTCGAGACGGAGCTTCTGCGGGAGACGAGGCATGTTAGAGTCACGATCGAAGGTCACGATCTAGTTAAGCCGGCTGGAATTGATCGAGCATCTTTCTACGTTCTGACACAGAAAAAGCGTTTCGTCTCGGGGTATACTTCCGTGATGTTCCATGTACATATTCCTCTCATTTTCATTATCTGAAAGGCAAGTATTGCTGATCGAGGAATATGCTTGGCGAAGTTGTAGACGGATATTCTCTCTGTTCCCAGTTCGAATATCTCGCCTACATGCCCCAGTCGAGGAGGTGCTGTTCGATTCAGCCGAGCGCTACCAGTTCGTAGAATGAGAGTATTTTTTTCGAGCCGGGGTTCAGAAGCCAGCTGTTCGATTTTCCCATCGAAAAGGTTTTGAACCCCAGTCGACTTCAGCTGCCCCTCAGAGAGAGAGATAGCTGCGTGCGTTCGCTTCGTACGTTCTTTCACGTCTGCGTACGTCCAGGCTGCTCCTATCACCGCCTTCCTTCATCACCATCAGACGCACTAACAGTTCTAACACGAGGAATCCGAGTCTCGACCGAGTCGACTCCCGATTCTTCGGTGTCGAATTCTGATCCGCTACTACCAGCACGGCTCGCGTTCTTTCCGAGCGAGCGAATTTCGCTGAAGCGAGCGCTATCACTTTTTTTTTCGCTTACTCTGTTGCCAACCAACACGCGTATGCAGACGAACTTTCAGAGCGATGAATGTGGCAGCGGCATTGTATTGCCGGCCGTCCTACAATCGGTTGAGCTCGTCGAGCTTCTGATGTTCCTATCGAGTATGTTCCGTTTTCAATGCAGAAAAACAAGAGCCGAAACATCGTAGCTCGCACGACACGGAAGTTAGTCCGCAGGGAGCTCCATCGTCCTCCGTGTACATTTGGAACGTGGTCGTCGGGACAAACGGCGTTCCGGGGAAAGCTTTGCTCGACGAGGGGGTTGAGCGATGGCTCCGCCGACTAGCCGGCTGGCAGCAGAACGAAAGAAAAGTAACTTTGAGGGTAGGGCGAGCTCCTCGGACATTAGGCCAAACAGAATGCGGCTCATTTCTGTAATTTATCCCCGCTAATAATTCATAGATGAGCGGACAGACGGGCTTCACTGCGCGGACAGCCAAAAGTTGTTAACTCACTCAGCGGGCCCCCGTCAATTTCGCTGACTGAGAAGCATTGCGGTGGGCTCTGTCGCTTTTGCCGCAGACGTCGCCGTCTCGTTGTCGCAAATCCGTTAATAGCGGTTCTCGTTGAGAAGGCGACGTTTAGGTTCGTGCTCCCTGACGATTGGCATTCCGAAACGGCTCCCCTCGACATGCTCTTGAAGATACATTTCTTTGACGGTAGCCGGCCATGTGAAGAACATAGATACAAATCTGCCGTCTGATATCGGACAGGAATTCCGGAGGGCTCGACATTATCAGTCCGTCTTTTTCTCCGACGAACAGCTGTTTCTATGAAGTTAATGTCGATCATCACCCAGAACGTAGTGTAATCCAGCTCCCAAACCTGTGTCGTGGCTGCTGTTACGACGACAGCTATCGTTTCGAGCGAAATATTTCATTCCGCGATTTCGCATCGTAGAGCATTCTGCGCAATACGAGGGACGTTTACGTCGCCGTGGCGATCGTTCATGGTGCTCGGTGGTGAAGTACACCTTGTACGTATGTCGTTCACCGGTTCGACTCGCAAGCGTTCCTCATGTTGGATGCAAATGCATTATTATCGGTAATTGACATCGAGCTGTCGTTTTTGACGTGATGTTCCGATGAGCTCGTGGTCCTTGCGGATGTAAATCAAGGATGAGTTCACGCGCGGACGGCCGTTGGGAGGAGGCCGTAGCGGCAACGGCGGCGGCATCGGCGATGAAGACGGTCGGATCGAACTCTTCGAAATACGATCCAGCTTCCACGAATCCTCTACCTAACTAAGTAGGTATTCAGCTGAACCAGTTGTAATTGCCGATGAACGTTGTTGCTTTGAGGCCCGGCCGGCGATCTGAAGAAATGACGGCTGTACGAAGTTAGTCGCGAGGTTCATTTGGCGAGAGCTGAACGATCGGAACGCCGAACCGATTCCATTCGAGGGAAGACGGGAGACGAAAAAAAACAGATGAGGAAGAAACACAGCGATCGATTGAATAATTGTTAGTACCTGCATTGCTCTTGGCGGTGCGGCTCAACCGACAAATAAGTACTAGTTCCAATGTCGGAGGGTGGCTCCGAGACAGAGGCGGGGAGAAGAAACGACATTTGGATCGAGAAAAACCAGAATCTGACTGAAGCATGAGAAACATAGAAAGAAACGATGAAACACATTCACCGAACAATGGACAAACAATTCAACGAGAACAGCAACAGCTGAGAATCCTATTTTTCGGTGGATGTTTTGTTTATTTTCCGAATGCATCAGGGATCGGATGGACGAGTTCCGGCAGGTGCTCGAATTCCTTCACTCCAACGCGTGACAGAATATACCAATCCCGGGTCTCCGGGCTCCGATCGCGACCGTGCGTCACACGTCACATGGGAATAGGTAATTCCGCACTCTACCCGTTTCCGTACTGAAGCGCTCGCTCTTCATTTCAGGTGTTGTGGCATCTCGACATTTTCCGACGGAGCTTTCGCGATCTCGTCGGTCATGTCTGCATGGCAGAATCGTGCATTTTCTGCGCATTGAAAGAACTCTTCGCACAGTTCCAATACAGCCAGGAGTCAGCGTTGCCTCCCGACGCTCTACGGAGGGCCCTGGCGGAGACGTTCTTCGATCAGAGGCGATTCCAGCTTGGTTTCATGGACGATGCCGCCGAGTGTTTCGTGAGTGTCTTTCTCTTGAACTTTCGAGATCTATGGTTTCGTCGACTGTCGTACCCACGGCATGTTTGCTACCAGCGCCGGCGGTAGATGCAAAGCGGAGCCCCTCCAATTCATTTCCCCGTGTTTTCCGCCTTGCAGGAGAACATGCTCCTCCGAATCCACTACCATCTGGCGAGCCACGACCTCGAGGAAATCTGCGTTGTGAGACATTGTATCCCGCATCAGAAGTTTGCTATGACCCTGGTCGAACAGACGATATGTCATATGTGCGGAGCGACTTCGGAACCGCTGCCATTCACTCAGATGGTGCACTACGTTTCGGCGTCGGCTCTGTGCGCACAGGCCAATAAAGAGAAAACCGTCTCGTTTGGAGAGCTCCTCTACAAAGCAGGTGGAATGGGCGACATTCGCGACTGTCCGGTGAGTTGTTCCCCAAACAGTCGTCATGGATTCTCCGACGTCTGACCGCATTGCCACCAGCTCTGATGGCTGCTCGTTCCCATGAGCTTCGTACGGGCCGGCCGGTCAGTCAGCGCGCCGAGGGATCTGCCGTCATTGGACGACGTTAAAGATCGTTGCGGGAAGCCGCCCGGCCAAAAGAAGTGATGAGATAATTGCTGACGAGCTCAAACATTTTCAGAGTTCCTGCGGTGCGAAAATCCAGATCCGCCGTTCGCTAATAAATAAACCTGACATCGTATCGCTCGGCCTGGTTTGGGACTCGGAGAAGCCGACTGTTGATCACATAGTTAACGTTCTGGATACGATCGGTACTACTTTAGCCATGACCGAAATGTTCTTCGCGGTCGTCGACCAGCAGTGGGCTCAAAGTACAACTCACAACCTCGTCGGAATCGTAACTTATTACGGGAAGCATTATTCCACCTTCTTCTTCCACACCAAGCTCCGAGTCTGGATCTACTTTGACGATGCGACTGTTCGAGAGGTACGTAGGCTTCGACGCTCGCGTCCGACCCGAAGGTCGCGCGTGGGAAATAAATTGAGACTGGGGGAGGGGGCGGGGCGCTCCGGAGACAAGTTGCAGGGTCGGGGAGAAGGCCGGGAACGGTACAGAATAAATAGCGGCCACGATGAAACTAACCGATTCGCTTTTGTTTTCCTACAGATCGGGCCTCATTGGCAGCAAGTTGTGGAGAAGTGTCGCAAAGGTCATTTCCAACCCCTGTTGCTGTTGTACGCCAATCCGAATGGCAGCCCCGTGCAGACTGTCGGCGCGCCGAAAGCCGTCCTCCATTGTTCGAACGGGCTCAAGCACCCGTCGGAACTGAACAAGTTCATCGCGGCAAACACCGAAGTTCCGACGGCGATGTCGCACTACGCTAATGCGCAGCAGTGGATTCAGAACAATTGGCACAAAACTGGCGAAATTCCAGCCAACGTCACCATGAAGGTTTACCGACCGCGAACCTATTCGGACAGTAGCGTGGTCGCCGACGGCCCGATGCTGTTGCCATCGAAAGGTGCGGTTCTGGGCGGGAACAACGTCAATGGCCTGATCGGTAAACCCCACTACGACGACGAGTTCATGTGTCAGGAGTATATCAATCGACAAACTGTCGAAAATGTCCTCACGAAACAGAGAATGCATCAAAGACATCAGAGACTGGCCATCGTCAACGCCACCCACAACCCGCATCACATGATCCCGCAACAGGGAGGCGTACGAACGAGCTCGAGCTCGTTGGAGTCGTTCGAAAACTCTCTCAGAGAGAAGATGCTCGAGCAACTCCAGGAGGGCAGACGTCGAGACAGCGGTAACTGGTCGGGAGAACGGAACTCTAGTTCCAGCTCGAGTTCAACTTCGCTCGACAATCCCTATGCGTTGCCGAACGTGAAGCGTCTCCAGAGACCGATCATGCCCCATCCGACGGAATGCTTCCCCAACGGCGTGACTTCTGCAGCGGGCGCTGCTTCTTCTGTCGTCGATAAAGGTTACGATTCGTACTCGATCAGCAGTACTGACTCTTATCCGGGTCCGCCCGGCTCACCGCACAAACCCCTTGGCGGAATCCAAGAGGAATCTCAATTGCATGTGGACATTTCGAAAATGACACACGTACCAAAACAAGTGGCACAGAGGGCCCTGTTGGATCCGTTTGTCGAAGAAATTCTCGCTCAGAGAGGCCCGGCCGAATACGAGAAACTGTGGGCTCAGAGCGACTGGCTCATCAGGAGATCCTACGAAAAAGAACAGACGGGCGATCTCGAGGTTTCGGCCTTCCTCAGTGACTGCGCCGCTTCCAAAGCTCGGGTCTCGATGGAGGCTCCCTACGGGAACGGGCAGACACTGATCGCGGCTCGAATGAAGCATTCGTCGTGCGTGATGAGATCCAACATGCTCTACAGAAGGATCAAGGAGATCGAGATGGAGAGCAAGAAGAGACAGCGCGATTTGGAGATCATCCATAGCCGTCAGGGCTCGAAGGACAGTCGGCGGAGCTCTAACCACAGCCGACAGAACAGCCGCGAACTGTTGCCCCCTCCTCCCGATAGCATGCTTTCCGATCCCATGGAATCGTCGGTGGCCGTCTACGCGACGCTCCCGAAGAAATCCGTGCGGAAACGACTTGTCGACACCGAGGAATACCACGGTGTGGGGTCCGAAGCCGTTCCGAGAGTTCCACCGAAAAATTTCAGTGTCAGAGAATTCCTCGACGCCGAAGGAGAACAAGAGAAGAAACTGTCGCCTCTCATGAGAAGCAACAGCAACCCCGCCGGCATAGCAGCTCGGAGCGGAGACGAGAGTCGTGAGGAAGGACCTAATTCGAAGGACGCAAAAAAGGTTCACAAGATCAAACGAAAGCTCATGGGAGGCTTCATGAGACGGAAAAATCGATCGCTGCCCGACCTCCGAGACGCCGAGGATTCCGGAGCTATTTCTGCACCGGAATCCTGTAACGAATCATCAACGAAAATCTCGGAGAAGGCCAAAGCGGCTCAGATCTCACCACTGCGAGGCTTCCACCAAACCACCAGCCGACCGAATCGACCGCAACTGGTGAAAGTCAACTGTCCGAAAGTCGCGGTTCTTCCGGACGTTAATGGAAATAAGTTCAATTCGTTGCCCGCTCTGCCCAAGGTCGAAGAGAAGAAAGAAATCGACGTTTACGAAGATCCCGAATACGCGGCTCTGAATGTTGTGCGTAAAGAGCTGAAGGTGGAGGAGCCCCGAACCGAGGAGCAGCGCGAAGCTTTCCTTGGAGAACTCCAGCGGAAGCGTGCTCAACTTCACGAGAAGAGGAGCCAGGAAGCCACTAGCAATAAGGCGAACCATTGTCCAACGGTGAGTGTCTCGGCTTCCATATCGTAGATTGATCTATAGTTTCCAGCTCTTGTTCCGATCCGAGAGTTCGAGCGTTGAGCTTCGATCTCAGGCTCGTGCTGGGTCGAGTGACAGTGATTGCAAATCTCATTCCCTCTCTATCTGCAGGCTCCTTCGCAATCGGCGGACCCGGACACCACGCTCAAAACCGTGAAGAAGCTCGCTTCTAAGTTTGAGAAAATCCTCTCGATCCCTCCAGTCAATGGCTGCGATGAGATCGATTTCTGTCCTGCCCCCGGAGAGGATATTTTGGCGAAACCACTTCTGCCCCCACCTCCTCCCGCCACTCAAGCCTCTAGTCAGTCGGCGAACGCTCCGATTCCTCCTCCCACCGCGCCTCCGTCGGCAACATTCACCCGTTCCAGCTCGATTCGTTCCACGTCTTCGACGGGGAGCACCGGATCTGATGGACTCCGCAGACCCTCGCGACCGCCGGATTACGAAACAGCTCTCCAACGGCGGGAACTAATGAAAAAACAGCGAGCCTCCGTATCGTCGAGTATCGATGAGGAGTTTTCGAACCTGCCTCCTCCTGCGACCGATATTCTCGCAACACCGCCTCTGGCGAGAGCGCATCTGCAATCAGTCTCCAGTATCGGCTCAATTACGTCTCTCAAAGACTGCATGGACTCAGCGGTTTCCGCCAAATGCAGAAAAGAAACCGCCCCGGTGAAAGACCAAGCCAAAACGAGGAGCATCTCAACGAGCAGCACGGGTAGCAGCTCGAAAAAGAAGAGTGTCACATTTAGCGATCAGGTCGAGTTGGTCTCGTGCGCTGAAGAGGTCGTCGACGATTTCGTTCCTAATCCCCTGTTGGAAAGAGTGCTCAAACAACACAAGGAGAGAGTTCAAGATCAACTGAATTCCTCGATTGAGAGCTCGACCGAGCAAGCAGCGACTGAACCGGTTGCGGCCACCGAAACCAGTTCGGAAATGTGCAATTTGTGCCACGTTCAGGCGGTTCCTCCCGAAACTACCTATTGTTCCGACTGTGCTTTCTACATGTCGCGGTTTCAAAAGCCGACGGAGTCTTAGACGAGGTCGGTTTCCTTCGTTACTCTCCCTCAAAGCTTTTCCCCCGCTCGGAGCTTCCTGCAAGGAGCTGGAACTCTGAGCCGGTCGTTGTGATCATTGAAACGTGTAATATTCGCTAAGGCTTTGTAACATGCGCAGGTTTTCTGAGCAGAAAATCTGCTCCATGTTGTACCTCTCATTCTGTCGACTCTCTCGGTCGTCAGGGTCCTCGGCGTGAACCACAAAGAAGCTGTGGTTGCGACTTGGTTTCCTCCTCGGCTATTTACACTCGTCCTCTGGAGCCGATTCGGACCGTCGTGAAATCGGCGAAGGTTTTGTTACTCGGCCTGGAGGTCTCGGATACCGTGTCATAGGTGCCTAGTGAATTCCTCTTCAGACCGAGACGAGGTTGCGAGACGTATTATTCACGTCAATTGGTTTCCGTGATGTGGAACGTGGCGGATGGCAGCTCCTGACCGATCGTTCACGCTAATAATCATCATCATCATCCATTTATACATCAATACATTCTCATCTGCGCGTCATCGACGTGACTCAAGCGGCAACTCTGACTGACACTGAGTGAGCAGTATTATAATCATTGACATCTAAACTGTAGTTTTGCCGTCAGTGGCAGCCCCAGCGACAAGTGAGTGCCAAATACCATACAGGGTTGCTCTGATCGGCATCTTATGGAGATATTCGATTCCATTGTACATTATCCATCCTTTCGCGATACATCGTATTGTTCTTACATTTGGAAAGCAATTCATCTGTACAGACTGTGCAAATGTATGTATACATCAACATGTACAGTGTCGAACAGCACCGTCCACAGGAATGCGGCGGCTCCAGGAGACAAAAATGAAAATATTCAATAAAAATTCGAAAATCAAACTTAGGACTTTGTCTTGAATGTTATTCCATCCCAGATCTAGCTAAAGAGGGATTCCCTGTACGCCAGCTTGATAAATGCCGGAAGAGCTCTTCCTCTGTTGATTCCTCCGAATCGAGAACGGCATGAGCTTAGTGAGTAAGATATTCGTTTCTGCCTGGGATCAGTGATCGTGCATTATATCCGATCGATTGTAACCCGGCCTGACCAATGAGTTCCAGACGGACCGAATGGTTCAGATCTCGAGGTGGACCCGCTCCGATGTTATAGACTCTAGCGTTAGCTCATATGTTCCAGAGGCGGATCAGATCGCCCGAGCGCTGAACATATCTCTAAAGTTTGGTGCCCGATTTCTGATTACCGCGAGGTTGCGGCTCGCCAAGGACACGGGCAATGACCACCACGGGGATCGCTCATCAATCGACATCCATTGCAGGATCTATTTCCACGGAGGAGTTCTGAGGTTGGTGCATTTCCGTTCGAAAACAGCTGTTGCGACCCCTTCTCATCGCAGACCGACATGTTGCGCGGATGCCATCCGTTCGTTGTAGTCTGGCACGGATTTAGGATGGCACATGATTGACGTTCCATCGGCTCCGGATCTCGGTGAATTACTAGGCGAGACTACGTCGGAATCGGCCTGATGGGGAGATTCTCTGCCAGCTGGCGGTCTGTATTTCTCGAGCTGGCAGCGGAACCTGTGTGTAATCGGGGCCTGATCCGACCTCCATGCCATTTGAGAGTTTCCGCCCACAGACGGAATAGTTTGCAAGAGAGTGGGCGAAAACCGGGGATAAGATCATTTGCGCTATAGTCGCACTCAAGTGATCTCCGTCAGTCACACCTTCACGCCCCAGGCAACGAGTTCATATAAAATGCGATCTAACTCTCGCGACGTGATTAGGAGCCGCGACGGCCGCGGATGAAACGCACTGACCCAGTTGCATTTAATCGTGCTTTTCAGTAGGCGTAAACGGTTCAGGGTAGCGTGACAGCTCGAGACAACAAGATCCGATAGAGCAGTTGAAGGGTCGTACGGTGGTATAGCTCTGGAGTTCGAGTAGCATACCTGTCAGATGGATAGTTGGGACGCTCCCCCAGTGTCACTCAATGATTAACCCGCGGGGAACCGATGAACGGTCCCTCTTATCTCTCGCAGATAACAGATTGTATGGATCTTCCCCGGGCTCGGGGATATCGAGATGAAGCGGAGCAGGGTTAGATGGAGAGCTAAGCGTCTGACGCTTTTCATTCAAGGGGACTTCTGGATGTCACTCTATAGAGGACCGTCGGAGTCTCCGTCTTTGCTTCGCCCATCGGGAATGCTGTTCCTTCGCAGTCGATTTGGCTGAATGTCATCAAGGACGAAAATTGTCATGAATCTACGCTGTCTCGACGCTGCCAACTCGCGACACCGGCGGGGGTTTCACTCAACTGATGCACTAGAAATGGTGTGGGCGTGATATCGGATTCCCTCAATGATGAATCATTCGAACAGCGCATGAATTACGGCTATCTAAGAATCCTTTCTGTCGCAAATGGATTCGTTCGAAATGTTCGAGCTCTGATCATTTGGTCCTTTTCTGTTCAAGTTTCAGATTGTCTCTCGAATGTCCGCTACAGGATCTGGTTTTGTCTCGGGGATCTCTCACTCAGCCGCTGCGCATCAGACAGGCTCTGGAGCTCGACTTTTTGAATTTGCGATTTATTGAAATACACTCTGAGGATGGGCATCGCTAACCACCTCCCGGATAACGAGCTGCTCCACTCGAAGAATAAAATCGGAAAAGATCCGTTTTCGAAAGATCACCAGTCCGGATCGATAGATCGTAGAATATTCTGCCGGACGGAGATTGTCCGGAAGAAGCGGAGCGTTCATTAGACCGATATATCAGATGCTCTACTGTTCAGACACCCGCACGGCGCAGTTTCTTATTCTCGAAGCGGATATGGCGAGTCCATGAGCTGGGATCGAAGTATCGAGAGCGCTCCGGAGTTGCCCCGGGCCGCTCATCGAGGAGGACAGCTTACAAGTTGCCGCGCTGTGAACCCGCCGCGCCGCCGGACTGCGAGACAGCCTTCCATCAGCGCGGATGATGCGAACATCATAGAACTGATGAAATTCGAGGCTTCAGTCCGAGGATCCTTCGGCCAGCGGCCGTTCTTCTCCCCATTCATACGTTTCCCGAAGATCTCGTTCTCCAGCGAGGATGATTGAAGGGCGGCTAGCGGCATTTTTAGGCTCACACAGGCTGTCCCTATCTCTTCGGGTCGTCAGGCGATTCACAGAGAGGCATCCGGGTTTCGATACGATTCTCCGAGTCTACTATCTTTGTGTGGTGTCCTCGAGCCGTGCGTGGTGGGAGCTGCGAGTCATCCCAGCTTTGTTGTATCCTATATTTTCGAGATCTTTTTCTCTCCAGCAGGGAGGGGAGCGGATCTATGGGGAGCCTTACCGAATCGTGTTTGGTCCGTGCCATCCGGAATTCCGCGGCCCTTATGTCTACCCCGAGTGGGAATTATTCACCTAGGAACGGGAGCGATCAAAAATACCCGTCCTTGTTTCGGTCTGATTCCACCTGCGGGAGAAGGACTGAGAGGAGTACGGAATCGGACTCTCTCTTTCGGACTGCAAACCGTTCAAGTCTGAGGCAAATTCTCTCATTGTCAGTGCCTCCCCAATGACTTTCCTCATCTCCCAGGAAATGCTTGCTCTTGACTCCGGAACTCATCGATAGATAGATGGATCACCACTTCACTCCGGATAATTTTTTCCACATAAGGAGGTTCCCGGACGAGACTCGAACAATCCAGCATACACATACGGTGAAACCTGTGGAAGCGGACTACCCTCTAAGGGGACCATAAGGGGTAACCTGAGTAACTGGACCATATAGTGCAGGGACCGACTCGAATCGTTTCCCTGTCAGACGACCTCTAAAATAGGGCCAACTGAGTTAGCAAACCGCTTTTGTGGTGCACCGCGGCTGAACCTTCCGGGCAGGTTCGAACGTCAGTTCGATCAGAGAGAAACGATCAATGTAGGTTTTTTCCTCTCCGGTGAAAAATCCTCGATCTGAATTCGGGAGGAGGACGGTCCTAGACCTCACGTTTCTCCCTCGTCGGCGCAATAATTCCGGGCCATATAATTCTTCTCATCGAGATGCCAACAGCTCTTCAGAGACTGCTCACAATAATGTGGGTATTCAGATCTATAAGCGTATAAGATACCAAAAACTATATAATATCGGAGAATATTGGCACCAGGATTCGCCTCGCCGTACCTCGGTTCGACTCTCCGCCGAAAGCCTTAGCCAATGCTCCGGGGAAAAGCCGGAATGTAATCCTCCAGAGCCCTCGCCCACTGCATCCTCGAGGGCCTAAACTCTAGGCCCTCGAGGGTCATTTTCGGTTTCCGACTCAGCGACAAGGAGCGAGAGTGGGGGAAAGACACGATCGGGGCACCTCAAGTACGCGTCTCATATTTGTCACTCGGATCGGTGCCGTCGACAGCTTCGAATCGTCTATTGCAAAGACTCCATTTCACGAGATCAGCTTCTATAAGCGTATCAGACTCATCGGACAGTGTAGATCAATGATCTGAAAGGTCCACCAGCGGGGAGCTCCCCGAGTAAACTCTAGAGCCTTAGAGTCTCGTTGTGAAAGCATCTATCGGCGGCAGCGTTGAGAACGCCAAGTCGTTTATCAATCGTAACGAGAATGTGCTAATAAAGAGCGGGCGGCGGGGGCTTCTTTCAAAGGCTCTTCATGACTCAATTTGCATCACTCAGTTTCTAATGAATGATCTCCAGCGACTCCCACACTGATTTTCTCTCAATGTTAAACGAAGACATCACGATCTCCATTAGCTCCTTTCGAAACTCCTTAGCATTTCTCTCCGGAGCAGAAGACTCCCAATGTCACCGTTCCCGATGGCTTGACTCCGGGTGGGATGGCCCTCTTAATTTTATCTACCACTGTTTTCGCCGAAATACGCGCGCCGCTCTGAGCAATCCACGACCCCTCGTATCTCAGGTCAAGCCTGAATTCAATGGTGACGCGACACACGACCCGGCTAAAATCGGATGGCGAGCTATAATCGCAGACGACATACAGGAGACGCTCGACGCTCCGCGCTAAAGCAGAGGGAACGCTCGTTAGAACTTGTCTGTATCAGTGTCCCTGATGTTTGCATCGGTCCGAATAAGGTTTCTCCCTAATAAACTTTTGCTCTGCGGTCAATCTCTGAGAAGTTTCAGCCTGACCCGAGATCAATAAGCGGATCAAGAATACAGGGCTGAATCAATTTCCTAATTCTAAGACGGGGCAACTTTTTTGGCCGTGCCGCCGAGAGGGTTGCGTCAAGCCCGCCTTCAGTGTGTTACTGCGCATCTGATGTCACTTCGTGCCGAACTTGATCAATAGAGCGTTG